CAAATTATTACCGCTAATCTGATATTTAAAAAAAGTGGGGTAGAGGGTGTAGTGCTTATTCACGATAGGATACGGTACGTCATTTTAGCCCTGATCATGATGTATTATGTTTAAAAAGTACGCAAGGGGGTCATATACACCCGGTTTCTTACATTCCACCAATTTTAAACCTTTAATACGGTAGACTCGGGTCTAGTATATGGCTGAGAAATTATATCATTGAGAAAATTTTTGAAAAGCATGCATTTATAATACGTAGGTGATCTAGACATTTGAAAAAAACCAGGTTTGATTAATATAGATCCTGTAGTTTGCGCCCGGGTCTAATTCATGGGGTCTATTATTGTAGGGGGATCTTTTATACGACCCTTACAGTATATATATGTTGTACCCCGGATGAGAATTTTGTAATTTGCTATTAAAATGACCCTCCGAAGAATTGTTACACGAGATTTTTATTAAGAAAAGCATAGTAAATCTATTTTTAGAAAAAAAATTCACAGCAAAGACCCCATTTTAGCCCAAACTATACAATTGTAATTATTTTTTTTTAAACCCTAATTCTAGTCTTAATTCGCAATGCCGCCAAAATAATTTACAAAATTCCCATCTGTGGCGGTCTTTTTAAGTAATACTGTAATATGGTTGTTGCTCAATTCCCGAAAGCTATTTAACCGACAGGTCACTTGCCCGACATCACGTAGGGTTAGGGTTAGCATTTGATTAGCTGCAGGTATATATTTTTAGCAATTTGTCACCCTTGTGATGTCGGTAAGTGGCCTGTCGGGTAAATAACTTTCAGGGAATCGTTCCATAATCTTGTAATATAGACAATGATAAATAACATTTGGTGAAACGTCATTTTAATACGTATTGTTATAAGAAAGACTATCCCATATTTTTACGTCCATTATTAAGGTCATGAACGGATAGAAAAGATAGAAATCTTTACCGTATTAACTCACCGCTGCAGGTTTTAAATCTGCATTCATAATATATGCAGTGAAAAAACGTTTTATATTATGGATAACGGAACGGTGAAATATAAATGATTAATCTCACATTTCAAAAAGACAACGATGGTCACTATGAATATATGATGATTGTTGTAAGATAGACTTGTGACATCATTTGTTACTATGTTTGTTTTGGGCTAGTCATAAGACCAACACGGTTGTAATGCATATAAATTGTGATTCGACCATCTTTTCATCAATCTTTTTTACTCTCACTGACATGTCTACCGGAAACGTATGTTTCGCTTTTTGATTGTAAAAAAAAAAAAAAAAAAAAAAAATATATATATATATATATATATATATATACATATTGTTGTCTCTACCGTTTCTTTTAACTTTTTTTTTAAAAAAACTCTTTAGGCAGCATTTGACCAGGCCGCTAAGGAATTTGGAACAATCGTAACAAATTATAAGGACAAGGTTTCCAACGAGGAAAAGTTAAAAGCGTATGGCTTGTTCAAGCAGGGTACGATTGGTGATAATACCACCGGTAAGTCTAAGATATTAAATTATGGCCATACATTTATCCGTCTTTATAAATAACGTTTTCATCCTTTCTAATTTTAGCAAAACCGGGTATGCTAAGTTTCGAAGCCCAACACAAATGGGAAGCTTGGACAGAAAGAAAGGGTATTAATTATTAATAATTTCTAATTAAATACCTATATTACTGAAATTATTAATCTCATTAATCATCAATCATAGGTCTCTCTAAAGAAGAGGCTCAGACTAAATACATCGAATTAATTGCAGAATATAAGGAGAAATATCCTTAAAGAATAACCGATCTTTTCGCTTAATGTTGCGAGTTAAATTGATAATTTATTAAATAAAATTGTTAATTTTTAATGTCATTATATAATTATTGACATATTGATATGATCATTTATGTGAATAATTCACGAGATTATAAATAAATTTTGTTTCTAAGATCTTTATAAGAGTCGAACTATCACTTCGTTACTTATACTAGAACTACTTAAAATCATCCGGAATCCATATAAATTGTTAAAAACTCATCTATATTTACATTATTATCGTACATTGCGAACAATTCAGTCTCAATTTTTTTAGCCAAATTTGATGTTAACGTGTTCAAATTTGAAATTTATCATGTGATATGCCAATCTTGAATTTTGATATTGGATTTTGGCACTAGACAGCGTATGAGAATTCGAGGCACCAAAATTGTTAATATAATATAACTGCTCAAAGTCAAGTACGTATGTACGATTACAGATGTGAGGGGTTT